TTTCCGTTATAGATCCCTATGTGCTAGATCATGTAGAATAGAGGCAACAAATGGTTTATCTGGGGATGATGTAATTGTAATGCAAATTGTTCTAGTTGAAGTGATGTTGATGGTTGAATTGAGACTGGTCTAAGCAAAAGCATGTCTGTAGCCAGGATTATGCTTGGGGGTAATATTTAGGTGCGACCTTTCTTGGGGGCATACCCCCCAGGACATTTTGAAATGGAACTTTCTGAAATGGAATTTCCTGCATTTTTTCCTGATAATCTTTTCAGTTTCTTTGTGTAAAATGATCCTCTCTTTATAATACACTGGGCATATTATAAAGAAGTGGTGTTCATCTTCAATATCATTTTTGTTACACAATTTACACGATTCTGTCGCTACTTTTGATTTTATTGTGTCTTCCTCTTTCAATTTCTAAACTGTTATTGCTCAGTCTGAATTTAGTTAGAGTACTTTTCAGTTCTTTATATTTTAGCTTAAATAAGTAGTTTTCCAAAAGAAGATTTGTATGTCCTCAGTATGTTTTTTGTATGAGTATATTGTCAATTATTATCATTATAGTAGGACTTATAAGCTAAAAATCGTGCACTTTGGGTTAAAAGCATGTACACATATTAAGTTGATCCTACTGATCATTTTTGGATACTGACCCACATGAACAGCGCCCTCTGGTGGCTGCTAATTTGATTTGTATATAAACATACTGCTAATGCGTATAATTAGGATATAGAATAAGTATGTCACCAATTAAAGTGCCCAAAACTATACGTTTATGGAGATTGGGGTTCACCAAATTATTAGCTAGAACTACTAGAGTATCTGACTGCTACATCTTTTAAAAATTGCGACTAATTTGATAAGGTGAGTATGATTTCTGACATAAAATATAAGTTGTTAATGTATATGGCAGAAAGAGGTGTCGTGGTGCAAGCATAAGGTTGCATTTAGGGACCTTTTATGGTTGATAAAATGCTGTTTCTTATTTTTCCATTAAGAATGACTGCTAATTTAACTGCTAGAAACACATATACATGTACATGTACAGTGGTCTCATGTTCTGCGAAAAGTATTCACTTAAGATGATTGGTCTCCCAAATATCAATATATCCAATGCACTTAATTCAAGACATTTAGGTTTTTGAACAGTAGGAAACTACTCAACAGAGGGCACACATAGCAGGGCAACCATTGTATATTCCATGGTGTCACTGGCGATTACAACTAGGCTGAAAAAAACATCGGGCAATAGGCTATTCTTGGTAGCAATTGTCTTCACATCGGTAAAGAGCAGTACACTGGAGACTGGCCTTGTTGCATTTGCACATACCCCTGCATGTTTGTTTACATTTGCAGTGTATCAGTTCATAGCACTCATCTTGGTCCTGAGCAATGGTTGTCCACTTGGGCTTCCATGTACCACTTTGGAGCCATCCCCAATCAGCAGGACTTGGTACACTGGGCTGTTTTGAAGTACCTGGCCCCATATGAACCCTCCTTGGTAAGTGGGTATTAATATATGCTGCTTTAGGGCTGCCTGTGTGTGTGTGTGTTGTCCAATGCCCAAGACCTTCTGGCAAAAAGATGTTGTCTT